AGCTGGATCTCCGGCGACCGTCGCCTAATCACGTTGTCCGCTCCGACGAGCTCCTCTCTGCACCTCCGATCTCGACCCTGTTCACGAGCCGCGAACCCCTGCCAGCACGACCCGCAAGCTCCATTCACGGCGACCAACTTCCGGCGACGCACAGACCACCGGCGAGCCCCTGTCTGCAACTCTTCCTCAACCCGCAACCTCCGTGCGCAGCGACCAAGAGCTCCGACCACCGCGCGCTTCCTCCGGCGATTTCGAGCCTCTTCAACCTGCGACCCTGGTTCACGAGCAGCGACCCCCGACGGCGTACATCACCGATTAGCAACCAAGATCCCTCCGTGCACGACCACCTCTGTTCGATATTCAGCAACCTAGCCCGGAACCTCGACACCCCCAGCCTCCGGTTCCTTTGTTCTTTTCTGGTGGTTCATATTGTCTCGTCCCGACTTTTCCAATCGGCAAGGTATATTGGCTATTCCCAACTTGTTCGTTTAAATTTGACATGATTTGTGTTGGACATTTGTGTTGCTTGACTTGGAGAAGGTGATTTGGAGTTGGAAATTGTTGATTGATTGATATAGAAGGTGAAGTGAAAATTGGGATTGTGTGATATTTGCGTGCTTTGGATATTATTGTTGTGTTTGGGGACACGTCTTGCCGGACGTGTCAAAATTTCTTAGGTACACTCTCGGATTGTTGTGGATTTTCGGGGGCATTATACTCGTGAAGTGCATATATATGGCTCGCAAAGGTAAAGAGAAGGCTATCTCCGGTGATGAAGAAGCACCCGTTGAGCGAATCGACAAAACATTAACCGACTACCCGGGGCCTTCCAAGATCATTAGTTTTGGTGAATGCACGGTCTATGAAAAGCTTTTAAAGTATGATGTGTTGAACCCTAAGTCGATTGATTTTCATTGGAGTTGCATTCTTGGTGTGGAGGACCAAATTGTGACATATCTTAAGGCATTACACTTGGAGACATATGCAAAGTTTAGTCGTCCGGCATACACGGTGTTGACTATGGAGTTCTTCACCTCCTTCTGTTTAGCTGAAAATCGGGAAGTGATTACTTGTCGGTTAGGAGGTGAGCTTCGGCGG